AGCAGCTTGGTGGGTGTTCCATTCCCTCCCTGGCTCCATCCTCCCTTGATGCCGAGCCCGGGAGGGAATGCTAGGAAGAGCTTGCACAGGTCTTTATTTGTTGTCTTGGGAAATATTTATTCTTGACACAAACCAAATTTACCTCTGTGATCTGCCAAGCACCTCCACTCTGTTTCTTAAGCTGGAAGCACTTCGTTCCAGAGCTGTTTTCTGCACCCCTCCCCACCCACTGAATGCACCAGCCACTGTACCTCTCAAACCAACATCAAAAGCCTCGTGTTCAGCTCTTGAAATAAAGTATTTTGGGAATATTATGTTGCCACAGCTGTTAATTTTTCACACAGCAGGTGGGAAACTGCCCCGTTCGAAGAGCACGATGGAAAAGGCCAGTTGCTCTGTAATATTTTACAAGATGGGAAAGCGGGGGTTGTTTGTAGCCAGCGCCGAGTATCCATCCTGGAGCATCCACACAGACACTTCAGGTATCTTAAGCAAATACTCAAAGTTCTTGTTTGGTCTTTTCCTCCAAGCTATGGCAAAAGCAGACAAGCCATTAATTGCACAGGCAGATGGCTATTAGGAAGCGTGTGAGAACTGGCTACACCACCACTGTGTAGGTGGAGCTGATTAGATGGACCTGAATTTAAAAAAAAAAAAAAAAAAAGAAAGAAAGAAAAAGGAACATTTCCTTCCATTTCCGTTGCTGCATGGTGAGAAAAGCTTTTCCCGTGTGACTGCAGGAGAAGACAATTCAAAAATATCAACAAAATTGCTCCTCACTTCCCCACTGAGCCAGGTTACCAGCAAGAGCACTTTGGGGTTTATATGGAACACATGGGACCAGGATGGGCACAGGAGGGCTTGGGGTTTTCTTCACAAAGGCTGGCACAGGTTGAAGATATAACAAGATCCAGGCATTACAGTACCAGAGGTCCCCACTTTTCTGCAAGCTGCCACCAGAAAACCCCTCCCTGTTCCTCTACTGTCCCATCTTTAAGCAGCTCTGGTTTACCCACCTGCCTGTCCCTTCCCTACCTGGGATGCATTTCTGGAGCTCCTTCACCATCAACACCTCCCACCAAAACCAGCCAAAGCAGCTGTATTTCAGCAGCCCATTTCACCCATGAGCACAGATGATGAGGGCCCCTGGCAGGCAGAAGACCTTCTTCAAATACTCTGGTGCTGACACAGCTCCTTCTCTGGTGAGCAGTCCCAGGGACAGCATGACCATAGCTGGCCAGTTTGGTAGGATTTGTAGAAACTTGAAGTTTCCACCAGCTAAATCAGTGGCTTCAAGTCCATGAACTGATTCAAAGCAGGCTGTGAAAGCATGTCCGCTTGTACATCACACTAAACCAGGGGGTGTACTAGCAGAAGAATCTCTATTTAATGGTTTTCCATGATAGAGGTTTAGCTTGTCTAGCCAATTTCAAAAAAAGGCTCATGACTGAAAACCCCCAGAGAAACCCTGTGCCTATCTCCTCCAGCATTCCCTGCTGGCGGGATTAGCCACCTTCTGCAAATTCTGGGGTTTGTTACCTACTTGCCTCCATTCATTTTACAGGACATCTGAGCATCTGTGTCAGGGAGATGATTCCAGTGATGGAAAGGACACTCAAAGTTGCGTGTTGCAGCACTTCTGAAGCCCATTGATGAAAGACATCCTCAAATTTCTGGGTGTGTAGCTTCTCCCCTTCCAGTTGTTGCCTGCTCTATCTAATGCAGGTTATTTTTTCAGGACAGGGACTGTTTCTCCATAGGTTAGTGCAGCACTTTGCACAACCAGCTAATGAGGCCCCTTACTACTACGGGGCAAACTGAAAATCGTATAATGGTGCTCCAAAGTGAACCAACCACACAAAGATAAAAAGCAGAACTTCAAATGCCACTCCACCAATTGTGTTTACAGATGCAAAACAAGAGCATTGCAAGACATCAGTGCAGGGTTAAATCCTCACCTCGAATGAGATTCATGAAGAAGCTGGAGTCAAAATTGTCTTTGGAGCAGATACACAAATTGGGTGGTCAATCTAAAGGCAGTTTCAAACATTATTGTCAAACCCCTTACCTAGGACAAACCATCAGCTTCATATTGCACGTGCTGTTGATAGAATGCTCAAAACAACAATTCATTTTGAGTGGGTATCTTAGTATCACAAGCAGAAAGACAGTTATTATGGGCCAGAAACACTTGATTCATATCCACCATCATTTATGGCCACCCAGGCTGACACTGTGGAAACAGTCTGCCCTCAAAAGGCCAAATACCAAAAGTGCACCCAGCAGAGTCAGTGGGCTGCAGCCCAGAGCCCGTGAGCACAGCGGTAGCTCTCCCCCATCCCTTACACCCTGGTTCAAGATGGGCAGTAACAATCAAGAGTAAATACTCAAGGGAGCATCAGAAAATCACCGTGTCAGGCTGTGGACAGTCTACTCATCAACTTCCCTCGCCATTTGTTTTTTTAGCTTTAAAAACAAACATATTTAAGGAGTGGAGGAACAAAAGACAGACTTCTCCATTTCCAGGACTCCTGCTGCTCAGTTAGAGGTTCGTGTTGTCACTACAGAAGCACACAGGGAAGTGATGAAGTGTGCAGCAGGAGTGACAGGTGGACACAGACGTGCACAGCTCTCACGAAGAATCTTGAAGCAATTACTTACGGATGTGGCTCAAACAAGTGTGTAAAGCCTCAACCCCTTGGTATTACTTGTCTTACATCTCCTGTGGTACAGAAAGCACATTTTTTTTGCTACATCCTAGACTCCAGTTATCCAGATGAGGAAACCAGCAGAAGACGAGCAGGTGAACATACTCTTCATCACAGACCAGTGCTGGAAGTGGTTTCACTGTTCACCACCTGCTGCCACCCTCCACAGGGAGCTGAGGAACACCAACCATGCTCAAACAGAGCTGAAAATTATATAGGGAGTGGTAAGCCACGAGGCATGAAAATTATGGTAATTGGGACTTGGAGGAATTCAAGGGGGCACATAAGGACTGAGAAGGTACTGAGTGAGGGAGCAGCTGGTTTCCACAGCAAGCCTCCAGAGCAGAGTCACACTCACCACTTGCACTGCCATAATGGCAAGCTGGCAGCAGAAAGGGAAGATACCTGGAGCTCCTCGCGTACAGCTGGTGCTGGTCTAGCACAGGGGCTTTGCTGGATGGGTATGATGCTGCAGCACTGAGATGTGTTTCAGCTGTCCATAGCAGGAGTGTATGAGCACTGCAGGAGAGATCTGTAACCTCTCAGCTGAAAGGATCAAGAGGAAAACTAAAGTGGAAGGCTGAATTAAAAAAAAAAAATAATAATTCAAATGATGGGGAGAAGAGAAAGACGATGCAAAGAGCAATGACCAGGTACCTTTTCCAAATGGTGACACCACCACGGTGCCAAAAGCCTGCGTGGACTCCAGTGAAGCACATGAAAGACCATCAAGAAGCACATGAAGTATCCAGCACTTTGTTATTCCAGACAACACACACTGATTATCTCCCACGTTCTGTAAAGGGAGAGGTGGCTTGTTGTTTGGCAATTTACTGTTTTTGTTACATTTGATAGGATTAACAACCAAAATTGTGGGCTAAAATTGAAATGCACAAACGTTTTGTCAGGACTTCACCCAATTTTTCTGTAATTTATGTGGGCAGTAAGCTTTTACGACGTCCTTAGCTAGTCACATTTCTCTGGTTTTAAATGTCTGGCTTTTGTAAACGTGTTCTTGGCAAACACAAAAGTGTCATGGGAACCATAACTGCTTTATAAAGTGGTCTACTTTTGGATACTGCAACTGAACAGAGATGAAGGAAACTATACAGTTTTTAGAACATCCAGCTGATGATTCACAACATCCAAATAATACTCCTGATTCATCCTTTATGAAAACAGCCCAGTTCAGCCTGGCACTGCATGACCCTCCTCAGAAACTATTAACTCTCATGTTAAAACTACTGAAGGAGTTTTAAGGCACAACTGCAAATTTATATAGATTCTTACCATTAAAAAAAAAAATCCAAATATTTCCAGTTTTTACTCTTTCTTTCCAGATGAACAATCTCAGAGGATACTAGTCACACTTTTATGTCTGTAATTCAAGATGCATACACAAATAAAGTACAAAACTAATGAAAAAACAATGTCATTAAATCTCCCAAGCAGATGCAAACCTGAGAAACTTCAGCTGCTGCTGAAACAGAACTGGAGATGTATTTTCAGTCAATCTCCTGCTTTCACATAGAAGTTTTGTTGTGAAGTTTATAGACCAAAGATTGATGCTGCAAAAAAATCCGGTGAGTGACTACCACACACAGAAAGAAAGCAGTGCTCACCTCTCAAATCAAACAACGTGCAAGACAACACATTTATCCAAACTTAGTGGTGAAAGTGAAATATTAAGCTTATGTTAATTTAGGAAGACACAAACTATACTGGTAACAACTTGTGTAAACTCTACTTCTATTGTTTTTTTAAAAAAACTGTGGAATTACATATGAATGGAAGAAGTCTGCTGCAAATGACAACAGCTGACAGCTACTGACATGCTAAAGTATCCAAAGCACACAGGGTCAGGAGAGGTAAGAGACAATCTGGTTTGGTTAACACAACTAAGTAAAGACTGCAAGGGACTGAGATAATGTCTTACATGTCTCTAATAAAAGGAGTGTTAAACGAAATATTTCTAAATTAATTTAATTTAAAAAAAAACACAGAAAGTACCATTGCTTCTACAGCATCATACTGAAAGACATCTGCAGGAGGAATTACATTTAAACATGTTCCAGTTATACTCCCAAGGTGTCTACTGTCTATTTTTATAATATTCCTAGAAGGGATTCCATACAAACCCCAAGTCTGACGTCTCACTTGGAAAATAGCACAAAGCCTTTTCTGGAGGTCCAGTAATCTATTCATGCCAGAAAGGGGTCATTTTCATTTTCCACATCTAAGCACTGCAGCAAACCATGTGTGTGCATCATGTTACAGGAGAATGAATGTTATTCCAAACCCATCAGCTTCCAAATGTTTCTTTATTGTTTCCACAATGAAAAAAAGGAGAATTCATAGAGCCCTTGTCTCTGTGGTTGCCTTCAGCTCCCCTTTCAGAGTACAAAACCCCAAATGTCTTCCTGAACAAGCACTCAGCCAGCTTTCCCTTCTCTAGCTACTACTTGTTTTTCCTGCAGTAGTTCTTCTTCCTTCTTCTTGTAAACCTTTAGAAGATACTCATCCGGCTCAATTCCTGCCTCCCTCAACTCTGACATGGCTTTCTCCAACCGGTGCAATGTACGGGCACTCTGCACTTTTCGAGCAGTGATGTACAATGTAAATTCCTTGAAGCCCATCAATTTACAGGTATCCACCTCACAGATATTTTTAACACCTTTGGTTTTGTCCACCTGGGGGAAAAAAACTAAACCTGACATTTTTTCCAGATCTTCAATATTCACTTGGAATTCAGTCAGCTGGTGATTGAAGCCTATGGGATTGTTTGGCACCACAAAAGCTCCCAGTACCAAGGGCTCTGTAGATGTTCTGCTCCGCCTGGCAAGGATCACCTTGTATAGGTGGGATGGCACAGCTACATCATCCTTCCCGATTACCTGTCAAAACGAAAGTCATGTCACAGATACAGATCTTATCAGCTGAGAGGGTGGGGAAGGGGGAAAAGATGTGAAACTAATCCTACTGTCTCTAAAAAGCAGTCACAGCATATAAGTACACATCAAAATCACGTGCAATGTTATCAAACTAGAAGCTGACATGGAAAGCACCGTTCCTTATACAGCTGGTCAGGAATGGGATAGTTAATTGATGCCTGAATCTCTCTCTCAAACAGGAAAAGCAGGGCAAAGAACACTTCACTGCAGGGTTATTCGGCCACTGTTGGTAGGAGACTTTCCCAGAGGGTTCTCTTCCTTTGTCCTACAACATCAGTGACTTTATATTATACTGTAAAAAACAATGATGCATAAAAAGCGTCAAAAGATTAGTCAGTAATTGCCTAAATATTTGTGAAGATCTGAGACAAGGAGCTCTGGTAGAAGAAGGGGAGGGACTTTTCATAAGGGCAGTTCATTATAGAACAAGGGGAAATGGCTTTAAGCTGAAAGAGGGGAGGTTTAGATTAGGTATTAGGAAGAAATTCTTCACTGTGAGGGTGGTCAGACACTGGAACAGGTTGCCCAGAGAAGCTGTGGCTGCTCCTCCCTGGAAGTGTTGAAGGCCAGGCTGGATGAGGCTTTGAGCAACCTGGTCTAGTGGAAGGTGTCCCTGCTGATGGCAGGGGGGTTGGAACCGGATGATCTTTAAGGTCCTTTCCAACCCAAACCATTCTATGATTCTATAAGAATGAACTCAACTTAAAATCTTCCAAGACAGATATGAAAAACATGTTTGGAAACAGGGAGTCAGTCAAGACTCCAGCTCCCTAGTCCTGGGGCAGATCTATAAGTGTAGCTTACTTGAAGGGATGGTAGAGCTCCTTTCTCATACTGCATCACATCATTAAAGCTGTTTTCAGTAACAGTGGCTCTCCACTAAGTTCCTGACCTGACAGTAGTTCCAAATCAGATGGGTTTTAACATGCATTTCAAATCAACTCTAATTTACCTTCTGTCAGTTATTTTTTGTATCTCTATTACCCACACACACGCTGTATTTAAAAGCTATGTTACCTAAGTAAGTGGTTTTTTGAGAGGACCTGGATATAAAGGAGTACATTCAGTGACTCACTATCTTGGAAGAAAAGCCAATCCAAAGAAAGTACATCTATTTCTTCCATAAATTCACTATGATTCAACTTAAGAGCTTGCACATGTTGGGTTTCCTGCTGTGTCACTCAGACCAGGATCCAGGAATGTAACTGAAACACCAGGAGGGGAGGATGAGGGCTCCGAATTCACATGAAATCTGTTAAAAGCTCATACACATTTGTACACAGTAGAAATCCCACCCTGTGTCAGGAGTAAGTCCAAGGGAATGTGCCTATTGTTGACAAATGTAACCTCTCCAGTATTCAAGAAGTGATGCATGCACTGTACTGGGCTTTTTTACCTTCAATATTGCTGAACTGAACCTGCCACGCAGGTTCACACACGGAAAACCTGAGTTTTGCATGACCCTTCTGTATAACTACTCTTCTAAAATTTCTACTTTTATTCTTATGGTAAAAGAAGAAAGAGATGCAGATGCCTTACAAAAACTACAAAGGCATTTTGTTTTATACATAAAATCCAGTAATTTGGTACTATTTCCAATATTTGCAATAGCTGCAAAAGCAAAGACCGCTTGTTTTGATTTTTTTGACAGCTTTTGTTAGATACAGTTAAAATACAATTTCAAAGAAAGCAGGCATTTATTTCACTGCCACAAGTGATCACATTAATTTAAATTATTTTACAAACTAATCCAGTATATCAGTTCAGACATGCTTTGTCCATTCATATATTCAGTATAACTCAATCACAAAAGAAAGACTTCCTATGTAAGCTTTATTCTGAGAGTACTCAGCACTTCTGCAAAAGAAAATACATTTTTAGAACTAAACTTTGCCTGTGGCTACTGAACTTAGGTTCACGTCAATTCTAATAGTTAACTAATTTCAGTTATGAATTCTTTCACTGCTTGAAGTGTGTCTTCTGCCTCTGTTGCCAGTCTTTGAAGTGATTGGTCTTAAAGTCTTACCAAAACCAGAGAAAGTACCTTTAGGAGAAAGAAAAACCTCCAATAAAAGAAATTTTTCATGTTTTGTACAATAATGTAGTAGAAACATTACTACTGTCTTTGGCAAATGTGTGCTCTTAGATTTCTTTACTCTGCTACAGAGTATTTTCCTCCCGGTCCCTAAACTAGGCTATTTAATGACTTTGCTGTAGTTTGGACTCTTTTTTTGTTGTGTTTTTTTCTTTTTACAAAAATGATCTTGTTTATGCCACCAACCTTCTCCTAAATAAAGCTCTGCTCAGACATCTAACAGTCATCAAAACTAGTAAGCAATAAATAAATGCCTTATGCCAAATCTAGTTTCCTTTTCAATGACGACAGATCTCTTGATAGGGAAATTAGAGCTCCGACGTGTCAAAGCACTTTTGCATTTAGCGTTCAGTGTGGGTGAAACCAGAGTTACAGCTCCTCAGGATCAACTGCATAAATAATCAAAACTGACTCACACACAGGTAATTTTAAAATATACTAAAAACTATGCATCAACAGACTAATATCACAGAATCAGAGAACTGCCAAGATTGGGAAAGACCTTTAAGATCATCAAGTCCAATCATTAACCCAACACTGACAAGTCCCCAACTAACCCATGTCCCTCAGCACTGTGTCTACACGACTCTTCAATCCCTCCAGGGATGGGGACTCCACCACTGCCCTGGGCAACCCCTTCCAATGCCTCAGAACCCTTTCAGCAAATAAATTCTTCCTCACATCCAATCTCAACTGCCCTTGGTGCAACTTGAGGCCATTTCCTCTTGTCCTGTCACTTGTTCCTTGGTTGGACAGACCCACCCCCACCTCTCTCCACCCTCCTTTCAGGGAGATGGACAGAGCCAGAAGGTCTCCCCTCAGCCTTCTTTTCTCCAGGCTCCACAACCCCAGTTCCCTCAGCCGGGAACTCAGCACACTTGTGCTCCAGACCCTTCCCCAGCTGATTATCTAGTGGGTTTAAAACTGAATTACAAAATGAATGGTGTTGGGAGTTTAGCCTATTTGAGATAGGTGGCACTCAAACTGGGGAGTACATGCAACGTACTGGGGGTGAGAGGGAAGGAGTCAAGAAGCATGCCAAGCCCTGAAGGAGAGAGGAGGGAGTTCACATGGCCCTAGTCACCCAAGCACAGGCAGTGACTGACACTGTTGGAGGCAGAAGGCTGGAGTTCCTTTCTCACCCTGGAGCAGGGAGCTTGCAGAGCCTGCACTGTGATCCCACCTCCTGCACACTCCTAGAGCAGAGTGGAAGAGAAGGCACAAGTGAGACCAATCCCCATTCCTCAGATTCACCCTGTGCCAACAACCTCCTGACCTGCAGCACTCCCGCTCAGGATGCCCTGCACCAACTTTTCCAGGCCTCTTCACATACCTTTTTCCACACATATACACACTAGGTCCTCCTTAGCTCGATTCCTTCCCTTTCTCAACACCTCCCACACACATACATATACCAGCATCCTCTCTCTGTTGTATAAAAGACTAGAGGAAGGGTGAACACACAGATGGAGCTGCTACAAGTATCTCCAGTCCGGGGTTACACAGCATATGTAAAACAAACAGGTGAATGCGTGTGGAGTGAGCTGGCAGAGGGAACAGGGGACTGAGTCTGAGGACTGAGTGGGTGGATAGAAAGGCTGGGGAATGAATAGAGCTGCATGTAGAATAGTGAGGTATGAAATGGAAATGCTGAATGCCTGAAGTGGGTGTTAAGGGAAAACAGACCCTGCGCTTATGTAATATTATGCAAATAAATATATTCTATGCAAAATAATGCACATTTATTCATAGGATATGTCCTTATGAAGGTGGGAAGGAAAGAAGGAGAAAGATGACTAGTTCAAAATGAAGGAAACGTTGGCCTTTTGAGAAATGCAGTTCTAAATACAACTCAAGTCTATACAGGCAATAGCTATACATGTAAATTATGTACCACTTCAGTTCCACATAAGCTCTCTTTTGAGGATTTAAAGACAATTTAAGTAGCGCTCAGACTTCATACTAATCCTCTGAATAGTAGTAAACTAGTTGTGTAATTACCTAAGTTCTAATATTGTTAAAGTCACTAAAACAAACTTCAGCTTGTCAAATGGTCAGAGTCCACACATATTCTTTTCTTACACAAAAAGTGGCACAAAAGTTCTGTCCACAACTCATTCTGCTGGAGGAGAATACCATCAAAGGAGGGTGTCTGATTTCTCTGACAGAGTAAATATGCATGACAAAGAATATCTATGTTTTTTTTCTGCAGCTTAACACTTACATGAACCATGCACAGGATGCATCACCAGTAATTTATGCAGCCAGTGTGACCTAATGACTTTTGTTACAAAAGGAAATGCAGTTCTGGAGCACGTCCTGATATTGCCATCATTGTAGAATCATTAAGGTTGGAAAAGACCTCTAAGATCATCAAGTCCAACAGTCAACCCAACACCACCATGCCCACTAAACCATGTCCCTAAGTGTCACATCTATTCACCTTTAGGGATAGTGTGTCTCCACCAGTTCCCTGGGCAGCCTGTTCCAACGCTTGACTACCCTTTCGGTGAAGAAATTCTTCCTCACAGCCAATCTAAACCTCCCCTGGTGCAACTTGAGGCCATTTCCTCTTGTCCTGTCGCTTGTTACTTGGGAGAAGAGACTGACCCCCACCTCGCTACACCCTCCTTTCAGGGAGCTGTAGAGAGAAATTAAGGTCTTCCCTCAGCTTCCTTTTCTCGAGACTAAACAACCCCAGTTCCCTCAACCACTCCTCACAAGACTTGTTCTCCAACCCCTTCCCCAGCTCCGTTGCCCTTCTTTGGACACGTGTTGTTATTATTATTGTGCTCTGGAATATCCCACAATTTGATTTTTAATGGGAGAAGATCCAGAAGCTGCAGAT